CCAAAGAACTTTCACATGTGCTGCATTTCTCCTGCAGGCCGTCTTATCACACGGCCCTGCGTTAAGCTGCTAAGTTTGCGGACCAGGAAGCAGGTACTGAGGACTGGAGGAATCTGGGTCACTTGACTAGACATAGCATCACTCTGGAAGCTTGGTTTTTGATTTGGGATCCTTTTGATCGTGAGTGGGATGTAATCTTGTCTGCAAGTTAATTTGAAGCACCTGCGTGATGGCTTTTAGGTTGGGATCCTTGAAGTCATTATCACCTCACAGAAGACCTCAGCACAGAAAATTTAATCCTGAGCTCCCAAACTGTAACCATAAACACGACTTCTCCCCCTCTCTGTGGTGTTTCCATCTCTCTATTGCCATATCTAACCCCAGCGTGGCCTCTGTGCTTTCAAATCTCTCTTTTCCAAAACCAGCAGCTCTCTGCATCATCATGTCCTTCTACGGCAAATACAAGAGACCCAGCAAAGAGGGCCTTTAAGGATACAGCTCCCTCAACATCACTGAAAAAAGCTGACCTACCAAGCTCCATAAGTGGTGCTTTTCTGTCTCCTTGTGGCTGCAGAATGCAAATACATCTGTGAGACATACTGAATGATCACGGATGGATTTAAGAGTTACGGAGTTTGTCTTCTTCAAATGGACGCCACTTTAAAAATATAGCCTACATTATATATCCAGTTTTTCCTTGCCTCCCATTCATTCATCTGTTCGTCCCTTCCTTCCTCCTTTTTTCCCCCTATTTTGTAGTAAGAAATAAAGATGCTCAGGGGAAATGTATTGGAACAAAAATATACATTTCATTTCGGAAACATAGTGGAGTAAGTATAGAAATATTAATACTCAAGTATAGACACTCTCAAAAATACTGAATTACTGTAACAAAGTATTATTACTTAGTTACATTACGCCACTGCCTACACCCTCATAATGTCAATTTATAATGTCATATGGAGTTTATGGGCCTGTCGCTGAATTTTTAGATTAGCCACGATTTAGTTTGTTGCGTGGCTGGTTCCTTTAACATAACAGGAAACCCTTTAAAAAAATTTACTATTTCCCTGTGTACTATAAGAAAAGTCACATGTAGACAAATTTTGTCATTTACACCAAAGGGTACTTTGATTTAAACGTCTCATGAGAATGAATCAATGTTGTTAGCCTACACATTTTAGATATCTTTGTCAACTGCCACTGCGGTAAAAGTCAAGAACAGCCTTAAGTCAGATTCTCTATCTAATACACAATCAATTACATATAAAAGCTTACATTAAACTGCAGAGGGAATTTGTTCCAGTGTACAGTAGTTGGAACATCTACATGCAGTATGTTTTATATTCATTTGTTATTCATAATTTCTAATGATTAAATAATTCATGGATACTATGAAGTGACCTCTTCAGTTTTTCAGATAATGAACACCCTCTGTGAGGCTGTAAAAATGAACTGAAGCGAATGTTACACTTCTCACCAGCCACTACAATGTCATGACAGCTGGTATTGTTTTCACTTTGTGAGTCTCTCTCTCTCTGTATGTGTGTGTGTGTGTGTGTGTGTGTGTGTATAAGATCATGGTGAAATGTAGTTCTGGAGACATCTCTTGTTGCAAGAACTACCACAGAAACCATTTTGAGTATTTTGCCAGGAGTTTATATGTCTGTCTGTCTATCTGTGGACAGAATTTGTCAGTATATCAACTTTGCCGTGCAAGATGTAGTCAATTAATGTATTTTACAGGTGTGTAGCTGAGATCAAAGTGAATGCCGAAGCAAGGGGGCCAGAATTGCCTCCCCACCCCCACTTTATGCCCTTGACAGACATTCACTTAAAGTCATTCATAGTTTCTAGTTGAACGTGCAATGAAATTTTCCTTCAAGGTGCCTTTAAAACACTTCACGTGATGAAACATAATCATAATCATAATAAGATGAGTGATGATGATAATAAGATGATGCTTATTTTGTGCAGTCTACAACATTCCCACATTACTGATCCCACTGACATTCACATCCCAATCCTTGTGATCTTTTTCATTATCATTGCAAATTCAGTTACTTTTGTTCAAAAATCACTTTGCTTAATCCTTCATAATGGTGTGTCTCAGCTGTCATGGCCCAAGAGCCAGGCTGTGTCACAGACTGGGTCACAATCTTTATTATTTTTTCCAGCTACACATTACACTAAGATATGTTTCTGAAAACATTTGAAGAGAGAAATAAGCTATGCAGTAGAATAAACTTAATTCATGCTTGATCAGCTCTGCCTAGTTTGACAGTTTGACCATCGTTCACGAGCTGTGATTGACATGATTGACAGCCATCGATTCTAATGATTGCCATTAAGCAATAGACAGAACAGGAGGGAAGGGATTTTCTTTTTTTCATAGACTGTCTCATGTAATTTTTTCAAAATATAGTGACAGTTTAAGCAAATATGACACAAAGTTATTTTTCTTTAAAGTTACCAACTGTAGCTTTAATCGGCAGCAGAGACTATTGTTGTTGACTTGTTCCAGACAATATGTGGGTATTATACTCTTCTTAAACCAGTGGTTCCCAACTGGTCCAGTCCAGGGGTCCATATTTCTCCTTAATCAATAGTTCAAGGACCACACACTATCATACAGTACATTCAGTGTCATGCTTGCTTTTGGTCATGTCATCGAGCTAGTTTGCTGTCTCTGTCAAGTAGCTGTTCCTGAGTCACTGTCTTTACAGCAAGAAACAGCACATCAAAATAAAAGCTCTGTCTAGAAATTCACTTTGCTTTCTTTACAAACTTTGCAAGTTTACAAGTCACTTGTTGTCCATTCAGAATGGACACATGACCTGCTTTTGGACCATGATCCATCAGTTGGGAACAACTAAATTAAGAGACAGAACTTTAATCAAGTGTCACCACACAGCATCATACTGTCAATCTGATGTATTTGCTTCTTGCAGCCACAAGGTGACAGAAGAATACTGCAGTTGAGAAGAGTTATATGCACATATGACACATGCTTTTGTGAATTCATCTACTTAACCAGCGTATAATTTCTTTCTTTTCTAAGGTTTTGAGATGATGAACATATTTTCACTACATTAAAAAAACACAACTAGCTATGATGCGAAGTAAGTATGTACAGATTAGCACTGAAATTATGTAAAGCAAATGTGTGTTGTTGTGGTTACTTATAGTAGCTTTATGGTTTATCATATCTTGCTGGTTTATGGAGTGTGGAGTGTCACATCTAAACAGAACCAGTTCACTGATCCAACAAGACCAACAAGAGGAAAGGGATGTGTTGATGAGAAAATCTTAAAATGCACTTATAAACAAAATGCTTGAGTGCTTGAAGAAAAAGGGTTGGAATCTTCAAACATGCAAAAGTGGAAACTTAAGGCTGTCATTACCGTCTGTCCTGCATCTCTCTCTCTCTCTCTCTCTCTGTCTCATTGTGTCTTACGGATTACTGTTAATTTATTATGTTGATCTGTTCTGTACGACATCTATTGCACGTCTGTCCGTCCTGGAAGAGGGATCCCTCCTCAGTTGCTCTTCCTGTGGTTTCTACCGTTTTTTTCCCCCGTTAAAGGGTTTTTTTGGGGAGTTTTTCCTTATCTGCTGTGAGGGTCCAAAGGACAGAGGGATGTCGTATGCTGTAAAGCCCTGTGAGGCAAATTGTGATTTGTGATATTGGGCTTTATAAATAAAATTGATTGATTGATTGATTGATTGATTGATTTAATAAAAAAACTTGAAAAGACAGTTTTCAGCCTTGCTTCATGACCCTTTTTTGTACTTTCATTTATGGGTTTGTCCTAAGTTGGTAATTGGGACAACAGGTGGGAGATAATGAGTATCATTCAGGGACTACTTCCCCAAAATTTCATAATTGTAATCAGTACTGTTGATTTGTCATCTCTCAGGAGTGGAGGCGATTTGCAAACTTTCAAGTTAATTTTTAGGCAACAATACTGTATTCTCATGTTTAAATAAAGACACTGATATCAGACCTTTTCTTTTAAAAAATACGTATTTCAAAAAAAGTTTTTGTATATATAATGACTTTATTATAATATAATGACTGTACTAAAGACACAGAGAAAGGTCCATAGTGTACCACATGAAAACAATCATCTATATACCAAAATACGATATAATAAATACTATATATGTATGTACATTGCTCTAAAAAGGGAAAAGATCTTTTTTCTCACTGTCTGTAGATTCTTTGTCATCAGATAAATCATTGACAATATAATGACCAAGATATTTATTCTCATTACACTTTAAGAGAAATGCTAAATAGAAATACTAATTATCTGTCTTCTTTACAACTGTTGTAGGCCGGCACTATATGGGCAGAAGATTACCAAATCATTTGTGTACAGTACTGTACGTCTTACTGAGTTACCAATCATCCATCCATCCATTTTCATCCGCTCTTCTGGGGCCGTTGTTGAGGACAGCAGGCTGAGCAAAGTACTTCAAACATCCCTATCCCCAGCAACGCTTTCCAGCTCCTCCAGGGCCTCCTACCAATTGGAAATGCCAAAAACACCTCTAACAGGAAGCATCCTGATCAGATGCCCGAACCACCTCAACTGGCCCCTTTTGATGCAAAGGAGCAGTGGCTCTACTCCAAGCTCCTCACCCTACCTCTACTGCTGAGCCCAGCCACCCTACAGAGAAAACTCATTTTTATAAGCTTGTATCCATGATCTCATTCTTTCTGTCACTACCCAAATTTTATGATTCTAGGTGAGGGTTGGGACGTAGAAGAAGTAGTCCCTGAATGACACCTGTTACCCTCCAGCTGACACACCCCTGAATGAAAGTACAAAAAGGATCAGACCGGTATGTCCTCTTCATTTGAAACCCTGATGTCGAAACTGGTTGTTTTTCTTTTTCAGCCATGTAACCAGTGTCGGCTGTCTGAACTCTTTCGCACACGCTTGGAGCAGTTCACTGACTGTGCCAATCCCTGTTAAACAAACCAGACGTACTCACAATAAACACTTTATTTCCACCATGAAAAATAGACAAAATATCTCAGTATACAAATAACAATTTCTGTCAACAAATATTTTCATTACTTTTCATTTTTGTCTTCCTCCGGTTTCAAAGATACATTCTTTAGTCTTTTATTTACTCCAGACAGTGTTTTTTTAATGTTAATGGCCAAACACAGAAAAAATAGATATCACATTTCTCACAAACTGTAACAAAGTCTCAAATACATTACAGCACGACGTACAAAAAGACATTCTTTGGGTTGGTGGGTGAGTTAGTGCATGCAGATGTTGTTGCGCAAGCTGATTACAAATGCAGTCAATTCTGTGCCCAAAAATCACCTGCAGTTACTCACAGACTACATCTGTTTCCTTTGTTAACTTGCATCTGATGTAGTCACACCGATAGCTTTGAAGTGACATCCAAGGTTCGCCTTCACTTCACAGTCTAATGTGCTTAGAGAAAGCCGAAACTGTGCAGATTACAGTTCTGTTCTTTCTCGCTTTCTGTGCGTTTATTTTTTACTGTTTGAACCTCCTCCATGTTTCACATGAAATGTAGCCAGCATAGTTCAGCAGAGAACGAGAGACTTCTTTACGTTGGCAGCAGATGAGTGAATGTAGGCACAGACAGCATTACCACATCTTTTTTTATTTATGCATCTAAGGTATGACCACCTGTGAAATATGCTGTATGTTGGATGTTTGAAGCCACAAGATGCCCACCACTTCTGTTACTGTCTTCCTGCTGACTAATGTACTGCTTTTAGAGTCTTCCTGCTGCTCTCTGTGAAAAACGAACTTAATTCCACCGGCCTAACCTCCAATGAAACAATTCAATTTTCTCAGCAGGTGCTCCTGCATCAGTAACTGACTGCAGAGGAGCCGTGTGGCACAGCAGAATCTGGGTTTTAAAGCCCCATAAAGAAAGAAAGAAATGCCTACAACTGAGGCTTGTGCCCATCTAACGTCTTTTCCCACAGAACACAATAGCAGCACTGATGAATATCGATTTACAATCACACATCAGTCGAGGTATTTCTTTACATTTCTCACCTCCATACCTCACTGTTTCCAAAGGAACATAATATGCAAACCCGCTTTGGTGATGCTGAAACATGACGCACTCAACAGCACAACGGATTCATTTCAATTCAAATGTGGCCTGTACAAGAGTCACTGCTGTGGTTTGCCGTCATGTGGTTGAGCTGTGAGTTGCCTCGTGTACGGAGCAGTTCTGAACTGAGGCAGGTACAGCGAGGAAAAACCACGTGTTGACGCTAACAGCAGCTCGCTCGAGTCCTCAGGGCTGAGCAAAGGGTGCAGCTCCACAGAGCAGTCCTCCCTGCTCAAAACCACATTTTTAAGTAGCTCAATATCTGTCTCTTCTTCTATCTGCTCCTTGTCTTCCTCGCTCTCCTCATCCTCCGCTGGGTAGTCCATTCCTAGATAATATAAGTCCTTCTCTTCTCTCGCCTCCTCTTCCTCATCCTCTTGCTCTGATGTTTCAGAAAGCTCCTCCACAGAGTTGTAGGAGCAGGAGCGCCGCGGGTCGTCTATCTCTCCGCCACGGCAGCTGTCTAGCTCCCACAGGCCGCCGGGGAAAGATCCAGAAATGTCTGAGTTGTTGGCAGAGAAATTGCCCTCGTCACTGGAGCTGCTGCCACTGCCATCTTTGTAGTGGAGATGTATGGGGGGCTGCTCCTGCTTCATATCGGGGAGCAGCACAGTAGCGTATGTGACTGAAGACTGAGCAGAGTTCTGAGCAGAGCTCTGAGCAGAGCTGTCAGTGCTGCCAGGCTGCTCTGCCAGTGGATCGATCAGCTGTGACTGATCTGTTGTTGGGCTCGAACTGGTTAAAGCATCTGTATCATGAGCTAAGGATGGAGCTCCACTGAGGAGCACCTCACTCTCCGTGGGCTGGGCTTGGTCGACCTCCGAGTCATACCCTGGTGGAAGGGAGATAGGTAAGGCAGTGGCTGGGTCAGGAGTCAGGGACACAAGTGGGACTTGGATTAAAGCTGTAGTCAGAGCTGAGAGATCAACTTCGTCCACTATGACGACTTTTGAAATGTTCTCAGCTGGCAGGAGCAGCGGCCAGGCTGACAGGCTCTCTGCAGGTTGAAACAGGTGGTCAAAGTTGTCAGCCTAGAAAGACGAGCAAAAACAGGTAAAGTTTTAGTTTTCAAATTATCATCTAGAAACATATTAACAAGAGAAGAAAATGTAGTCAAAGTGGTCAAGAAGGGAGACGAACTGCATATTCTCTGTTGGGAATGCAAATGAATCACATTCAAGAGCAGCCAGTGTATAAACAAGTTTCTAAACGTATGGAAATAGGGTTGATAGTGTGTTATAATTTAAGAATAAATGGCTGTACTTTCACATAAAAATTTACCTTTTTTAAGTCTAGTCCTTTGGCCCAGGAGCACTTGTTGGGGTTGGGCACATCCTTCCACACAAACCTTTTCATTCTGGAAAAAATGCAGCGGGTATTTTAGGTATTATCTCTCTGTTTCATGGCTTTTTTTACCTCCACCCACCTCCCATCAGCTAACATCAAACGAAATTACACCTTTGTGACCTGTTAAATGTCACACTCCTAATTCTTCACGGTCAGTGTCTCTGCTCCTGAAACTAGACGGCACCCCAGAGACTTCCATCATTTATCATTTCTTACAGGTGTCTGGGTAAAAAAACTAATTGGCGTACACTGATGCCGCACAATTAATATCTGGTACGAGATTAAATATATAAAAAATTGCTTTATCTGCAAGTAAGAAAACATAATGCTGTTGTAGTGTTAAAATGTTTATGCACTGAACAGGAGCCTCTTACTGGTTTTGGGTGAGGATCAGGGTGACGAACAGGACGATGGAGAGGAAGGAGATGATCATCAGCATCATGTAGGCTGCAGGATCTCCTCTGGAAGCTGTAACAGTTGGAAAAATACACATTAGACCTGTAATTAATACCAATAACATCCTTCAACACCTCAGTACTTATCCAACATACCTATAGCGTACACTGGCTCCCCTTCTCCATCAGCAAACACAGGGTACAAGTAGAAGCCACACTCCTCAGAGCCGAAGAAATCACCTGAAATGATACATCGTCACATGTTTGCTGAGTATACCTGTCTTTTCATAGTAAAACACACTGTTAACAGTTACACTGAGAAATAAACTAATGACTGAAAAGACAGAAAAGAGGTCACGTTACCTTTCAGGTAGATGGGATGGTCGGTGTAGGGCAGTCTGGCCCATGTTTCTCCAATCCGGCCTTTGTGATGATCTGAGTCCTGTTGCTTATGTGGAGACCACTGGACCACCATGAACAGAGGCACAGAGTTGTTGTCCAGCAGAGTCCAGGACAGAGACACACAGGTGCTTTTGATAACCAACACGCTGAACGAACGCACGCTGCGGCCTGCAGAGTGAGAAGACACTTCATGATTACAATATGTTCAGGTCTGTTACACTTGCATGAGAAAGTAAATGCAAAATAAAATGTCCTTTCTTTCTGCATTCATTTATTTAGGATTTTCTGCTTATTTTTCTGCATGCTGTGAGCACCAACAACACAGATGTAGTGCTTCTAACGTATAAACTATAAAGCTATAAAGTTAATTTTTCCCTCTAAGCTGCAGTGATTGTTTCTTTGGCCACTTGGGGAAAGTGTAAAAAAAACTTGTGAGCACGTATTGTTTCATCTACCTTTTAGGTAGATATGACAAATGTGTGAGCAGACAGTTGCTTCTTACACATCCAGCAGACACAGAGCAACATTAGCACTCATCTGGAGTCATGTTTGTGTCCACCTAATGAATTATGTACAATATTCACTCTCCTTTCAGCTTTGCTTTGATCTTCACCAATTCCTGAGGAAAATGTCTGACTTTCTTGCCGCTAAACACTCCACTATGTTCACCTGCTAGTCACTAACTTTGCCTGTTTGTCATTTGTTGTTGGGCTTGTAGCATAGACTGTATAAAATAATAGAATAATATAAATTAGATGTAGCTACGGTGACGTCACCCATTGGTTTGTGGACTCCCGTTTTGCAGCCTCAACTATGGCATTGTGGCTGTCGCCATCTTGGTTTTATGAAGCCAGAAGTGCCATATTTGGATGAGAGGTTGGAGCTGACTCACATACTGTAGATGCCACACAGACAGCCTGTTGCTCAAATGGCCCAGCTTTTAAATATGCGCAACTTAAAGCCTTGCTAAAATGTCATCATGTTTATCTCTGCTGTAAAGCCCAGGAGGTTGCCATTTGGCAGGTAGTGCATATGCACAGAGGATTGTTTTGTTTTTGTTTTTTTTAAATGAAAAGTAACTCCCTTCTACATAACAACAAACTTACAGTGTGAGTGAATCAAATCAGGAAAGTACTGGGCTGGAAACTTTGTGCTCAAAGACGCTTAAGGTCTCTGTAGAACTAACTGTAGGGCCAGATGCTAATTACCTGTGAGTTTGACGCCTTTGACATACATATAGTCATTGTGCATCATTGCTGACATAAAGATATGGATTACTGCCACTTTAAAAAGACGAAGGAAAAACCTGAATAAACCACTGCAGAGCTACATAATCATAAATCATGAATGATAAGTAGCTGTACGGCCCTTTAATGTCAGCATCAGTTGTTTAGCTTTAGTTTAGCTGCTAATAACACTAAAAAACATTTTGTCTGAATACTTAAGGGAAAATGTCTCAAAAACAGCTTTCTTGTAAAACAAATAATAATAACAGACCACCGCCATGGGAAAGCATTTTGATTCTGCCAGTTAGCAGTTTAATGAAAATACTTTCCCCTGAATTATAAGTAATGGGGGAAAGGGACACAACTGTCTCACACACACACACACACACACACACACACACACACACACACACACACACACACACACACACATACACTCAACCCCCTGTCTTACACTGCAAACAGTCATTTTAAATAACTTCTGTTGGAGTGCTGGTAATAGTGTTTACTACACTACAGCTAATGGCAGCAGGGCCTCAATCAGCACTTTCATGGGCTCGCCAGAGACACATGTTTTATGTGTCATGCCCTAATGGATGGCTGTTCATGCTCCTGGCTTTAACTTACATTTTTTTGTAATGTGTTATAAGGCCATGGTGCTAGTGCCAAATTGTTTTATACTAAAAAACTGCGGCCTGACTAATGCTTTTCGAGAATTTTTTTTTTGTGTGTGTGTGTGTGAAAAGCAAAATGAAAAAACAAGGTTCGGTTTTGATGACTTTTTTAGTTTTGCCATCTTTTACATAGTTTGAAAGAAAAACATTACGGGAAACCACCTTGTTATTTCCTTTCCAGTACATGTGCACCTGCATATCTCGGTGAAGCACTGACCATGAATCTGATCTAATCTCACTTCTGTAACCTGAACTTTCATAACGCAATAATACTGCGAGCCCTTTTGATCTCAGCTACAGTTTTCATATCTTTACTGGAACATAACAGCATGTTGCACAATACAAATCAAACTGGCTGATTTTTCTTCTGGCTGCTTGAATCTTTATGTCATCATCTAATTGAGCTGTATTAATTTATTTATGACTTAAGATAAATCCTCTGGTGTTTTGAAGGTGAAATCTTTTTAAGTGTAACAGAAACTCTACATTATTTTATAATTACATTTCTATTTGATTCTTATTCTGTAGCATATTGTCTGCTGAGTTAGCTATTGCCTGTGTCTGTCACTCATTTGTATCTTTGCCATGCCATGTCCAGATGTCCAAAAATATGAAAAAGAAAGTGAAATATGTCAACTCCATAGCCCAAGGTGGTGGTTTAATAGTCCAAAATGATCAGCAGCTTAGAGAAGCTGCAAGAACTCACATTTGCAAAGCTGGAACCAAAAATGTTTTTGCTTAACAAATGCCTTAAATTATGATTTTTAGGGGCGTCGGTGGCTTAGTGGTAGAGCAGGCGCCCCATGTACAAGGCTGTTGCCGCAGCGGTCCGGGTTCGAGTCCAGCCTGTGGCCCTTTGCTGCATGTCATCCCCCCTCTCTCTCCCCCCTTCACACTTAACTGTCCTGTCCATTAAAGGCAAAAAATGCTTTGTATGTTCATAGCCCACAAACCTGCTGTCCTCCCCTTTACTGCCTTAGCTATCCTTCAGACTTCAGGCCACAGAATAAGAGAGAGGCTGTAAGATGACTGCAGATGTGGACATTGCTACATATAGTAACTGCCCTGTTGCTCCAACAGTGAAATTATTTGTTTCAAATATCCTGCAATGCTAATGTGATACTGAGCATAGCAAACAGAGCAGCCCCACACTGGTGAGAGGGCAAACTAACAATTAACTCTCATGTCCTTACAGAATAGAGTCAGAGTATGCGTTGGAGAGAATATGATTAATACTCCCTCTTAGTTCAAGAAAAATTTCAATGAAACTTATTTTTCAGCTCACTCACGTTTGGGCTGTCTCTCTAGCGTCATGTTGAAGTTGTTAGCGGAGCTCCCCAGATTATTGTAGGCCTCCACCGTCACAGTTTGGGGCACCTGGTTCCACTCAAAGCTGAAGGAGGATGCCAGCTCAATCTGCTCCCTCATCACAGAGCCACTCAATGCCTGGTACTGCACTATAAATCCATCTATGCAGTAAGACCGTGTTGACAGTTGGAGATGATGCTGCTGCAAAAAAGCAAGAAAGCATTTTTAATGTTGTGTCTTAGTCATAATCCTGAAGATGTTTATATTTTAGTTCATGTACCTCAAACAGCAAAGTGACATTTGTCTGGTTTCTGTATGGATCATCTTGAAGGACTCTCCAGAAATCGGGGCCTCGCTCAGGAGCTGAGGGGGGAGACCGACAATTACATCACATGCCACCTTTTACCTTTGGTTTTACCTGTGGTATGATGTGTGTGGTGGTGTGGGCTGTTTCCCATTAGAGCTAAAATCAAAAGGTCAGGTGTGATTAAAAAGGTTACATTAGACATGAAGAGTGAAAGTAAAGGTGTTCTGCTGTACCTCTGCTGTTCTGAGGTGTGGAGTAGACCGAATCGCTCCATTCGCTCCAATGGCCGGTGCCGCTGGTGTGCATGCAGCGTACTTGTACAACATACACCCGGCACATGTCCGGCACTAAGACCTCCGCCCATGGCACCCGCACTGGACTCTGGATCTGAGGGCATGACATTTTATTTTGAGCATTTTAGATAAAGGAAATAAAAAAAAACTCTGCCTCCACTTTATCCAAACAAAGAGAGGAAAGTATTTCCTCATCTTTCTCATCATATTGGTAGCATGCATCCAATTTCCTAGATAATTCAATCAGATGAATATGGTTTTGTACCAGCTCGTTACAGGTCAGGTCAAACTGACCAGCTGAGTCCATTTTCAGAGCATCCTCTGTCATTTAAGCAGATATGAGACTTATTTACCAGCTGTGTCCCAGACCTGAGTGACTTCTAATATGTTTGTTCTGAAGAGATAAACATCCTTCTTACCGCAGGAGGAACATTTTGGAAGATAATTGGATGCAAACAGTCAAACAAACTAGCTTACCTTCCACTCCGGCTGGGCTCTCACAGCGGAGGGTGAGTGGTACCGAAACTGACACTGGAGCCCTTCGACTGGCAGAGACGGAGGCTCCCACGAGATCAGCAGGACCCCGCTGCTTCTGCTCACTGCCTTTACATTAGTGGGTGAGTGGGGTTTCACTGCAGGGGAGACGGCATGAAGGAACAGAGTTTGTTTGGTGCAGAACATCAGGTCATGCTGTTTTCAGTTCTTCTGGGATCAATTAATCACTAAATCCTCAATATTTAAACGTTCTCTTCATGCAACTCTTTCTCTGTGAATATTTAATGTTGCAATGGTTTCTTTTGAAGTTCAGTATAACCACTTGCTCTAAAAACTGCTGTCTGATTTATAAAAATACAAAAAAAATCCAGATATTCAAGAGTTTCTGGGTTATATCTCGATTTAACAGGAGGTATTTCCACATGCTATTTCATTTCAAAAACACATAAAATTATCATAACTCCCATGACATAATGTTATGGCGGGAGGAGTGTCATCTCAGCGTGTTATTATTGTGATATTTTCCACACACGAACCCATCTTGCTCACCATGATCGATGGGGGACAGGTAGATGGGTTTAGACCTGATGGGGCCCAGTCGGGACGGGACCTCCAGCCACAGCTTGTAGCAGTTCATCCTCAGGGGCTGGATGGTACAGGTTTTCTGCTTGGATCGGACCTGCAGGCACGAGGGCCCCATCTCCCCCACTTTCTCCCCCGCTCGCTCCCTCTCCTCCATCACGTCGCACTGCAGGTCAGCCCACCTGTCATGAAAATATAATAATGGTCACTTTATCCTGCTGTATAGGCCTTTTCTTTACCTTCATACAAATGTGCTGCTTTACTTGCAGAGTATTTTTATTCCACAACATTTACTTGATAAGATTTAGAATATTAATACAAAATAAAAACAACAAACAGGTGATATATTGTGATAGATTACTGTACTCTCACTTTTTATAATCCTTTACCTTTGGTATTTCAATCAATCAATCAATCAATTTCATTTATAAAGCCCAATATCACAAATCACAATTTGCCTCACAGGGCTTTACAGCATACGACATCCCTCTGTCCTTTGGACCCTCACAGCGGATAAGGAAAAACTCCCCAAAAAAACCCTTTAACGGGGAAAAAAAACGGTAGAAACCTCAGGAAGAGCAACTGAGGAGGGATCCCTCTTCCAGGACGGACAGACGAGCAATACATGTATTCAAAGTACAAGATTTGAATACACAACACTACTGATAAATATATTAAGATAAAGGATAATTCCAATTTCTTAAAACTTTAGAACATAATTTTGAACATAATTTATATTGGTTATAATAATATTCTCTTCACCAAAGTAATTGAAACTTGATGCAATGATGTCACACGAGGCAACAAACAAGTGGTCAGATGATCATAAAGTCTGTAAACAAGCCAACAGTTAGGTCAAATTACCAAAACTACTGAATTTGGAGACAAAATTGGAAGTGACGGCACCCAAAATGTCTGTAATAATCACTTCTTGCACAGACAAAACAAAACTACAACCTGTATGGTGTGTTGAAGTTTAACCAGGAAGTCGATCTGTAATTGTATTGATGACCGTTTGAATGGGCATATCTCATGCCCCGTATGTCGTAGAGACATAAAACTTTGCACAGAGATGCCTCTCCTCATCAGGAACAAATTTGCCTCAAGAACCCATAACTTCCAGTTATATAGATTTTCCGCCATTTTGAATTTTTTGAAAAACACTTACAATCGATCTCTTCCTAGGAAGTTTGACCGATCTGCATGAAACTCGGTGAACATAATCTAGGGACCAATATCTGAAGTTCCCTCTTGGCAAAAGATGGAAAACTTACTAAAACTGAGCTTCTATAAGGCAATGAATATTGCGGAGGGCTTGGCTCATCACATAAAGGTGTATGACATCTCAAGGGTTTCACCGATCACCATGCAACTTTGTAGGCATATGACCACACATAATCTGAGGAGACCCCTCCATTATTGACCCCATCAAACAAAATGGGGGCGCTAGAGAGCTAATTTCTTATCTAGGCCTAACCGCCATATGGATTTTTACTAAGCTTGGTAGATATGTAGAACAGGACGCCTCAAGGTGACTGGAGAAATTTAATTCTAACTGGCAACTGGGTGGCGCTATAACAACAGAAAAATGCTTAAAAATGGCTAAAATAAGACTGATCGCTGTGGCTCCCCCTGTGGCCCAATGTTTTGTATGACTAAGTCATGGTATGGTTTGCTGTACATAATCACAGAAACTGTCAGTTCCTCTACCATCAGTCATTCTACCAGTGCGCCCCACTTTTAAGTCAATACAACATATAAACACTTTAACTATCTGCCTTTCAACGTGCTACCTCAACTACTTATGTACAGTTTTAACCCACTAACTATCCCACTATTGGTAATGGTACTACTGTACTTTCAATAAAGCAATCGTACTATCACATTCACAAAAATTCTGTCTGAATACATTGCTCTACTTAATGGGTTCAGTTGACTATTTAATCTGCAATTTCCTATGACCTGTATCCCAAACACACACCATGTGAAACTGTACGTGGGCAACTGTGCACTCAATGGGTATGGACTAGTTATTTTATATTGTCTGTTATATATTGCCTCGTGTTACGCAACAATCCTGTTGCATAAATATTGTTTACTACGCAAAGGCAACTTCTCTGTATTTCTTGTCTGCACCTTAGAAGTAGCCCCCACAATTTCGTTGTATATGTAGCATCCTTTGTTCTTGTGCAATGACAATAAAGGCTTTCTATTCTATTCTACTCTATTATAAACAAATGGTGAGTGCACACCCTTACGTGCCCCTATGCAGTGCTCCTCTGTTAAGCCAACTCCCAAGTCTTCCTCTCAGGCAGATTTCAGAAACTCTTGGGATATATCTAATTGATACAGAGACATACAGTTATAGATATATGATATAATCCTGCTCAACGAAGGATCAATAGAAAACATAGGTTCCATCTGGGTGCTATCAGGTGCACTGGTAAAGGTATTTTGTATTTGTATTGGATCTAATATAGTTATGAATGTGTAGAAATGGAAAGAAATGGGTTTGAGCAGGATTTAATAAATTGCAAAGTTATTCAAAAGATGGAAAAGTGTCATTAATGTAAAGATCTTTCATTTTTATTATGTCTTCATTAGTCCTAAATTGAAAGGAGCTACCTAATAGAGAGGGACATAAATGGTGGTTTGCACATAGACGAGCCAGGAAAGAATTCCCATGCTATCCAAAATGCAGTGTTATTTTAGTCCAGATTTTAAGGGACTGTTTTACCACAGAATCTGAGTTAGCAAATCCCAATGGTATGGGAAGGGAAGAGAATAACAGTGCACTAGGGGATGCAGGAAAGTCAGACATATTTTAGTGATATTGCTACATTCCCAGATCTCAGCAATTACATGTTTTGTTATTGATTGTTATAGAACAAGTTGTAATAAACCAGAATAACACATACAATTCAAATTTCCGTCACTTAAATATACAGTGATGTATTTTTTCAATCTCTATTTAAAAGATTGAGAATTACAGGAAAAGTTAAAAAAAAGTAAGTGTTGCGCAAGAGAGTTATGAAACAAACATTACGTCATTCTGTCAGTCCTCTTTGTTGTTGTGGTTTTTAAAGTGTAGAGACTTTCTTTTGCTGCGAGGACACAAGTCTCAGTGACATTGACCTATTGTTCACTGGTGACATAAACTTCCTGCTATCACTTCACACGACTATTTCCAGGGTTTCTAAATGTGCTCTCTGGGACACTGTGCACAGTCACTTCCAGGTCTTTAGCACATTGAGCTCTGAGGTTTCATTAACAATACCGCAGCTTGAACAAACATCCTAAAGCACTTCACTAAAAAGGAGACGGCTACTGTAAAATGTAAATTGTGGCTTTACCTGGATCTGAATTTGAGTCTTGTCCACTGTGTGCTCTTCCAGCTGCAGGTCATCGCGTCGATGTCACCGTTGGTTTCGCATGTTATATCTATGGAAGCTCCTGAGACATGCAGGGAGAAAAGCTCACATTAGGTCACCGTGACAAACTTCAACTGAGATGACCTCAGTGCACTGGGATTATTTTGGTTCACGTTGCTGTGCAGTCACATGTCGCCACTCTCTTTCCTGTCTTTGTCCACTGTGGTGGAACGCTATCACAAGAAAAGAGACTTCCAGTAACTTTAAAACATCCGTGGTGAAATAATGATGTTTGAATTTGACTCCAGAAGTCCATGTCTTGAAGGTAAATACAAGATGTCTGATGATAGTTTGTTTCTGTCTGTTCTATTTAGGTGCAACAAAGCTCACCTTGTACATAGATCTGGCTGTACGGGATGGTCCACTCCTGAGTGCACTGCAGGAGGTCGTACATCCGAGACTCTGAAGGACGCACTGTGATCTGGCTGACCTTAGTTGGAAAAGGAAAATCTTCTCAGTTATTAACACAGAACGTACTTTTCTAAAAATACACAAGAAAGTCATTCAGTTTATTGTTGGAAATGTTCCCAGAAACATACAAAGAGTCTGGAAGGAGAGTTTCTAATTTTTTTCTTACCCACTGGTTAACCGGGTGATACTGGCTGCTATGAAGCCGCTGTTGGAAGTTGCGCATCCACATGGCCGTGCTGGCGTTGATGCTGTGGTCATTGAACACACAATATACCGTGACGTTGTCCCCCGGCCGTGCCACCACTTTCTCAGGGATGTAGCTCACCGCTGCAAACACAAGAAACATCATAATATGGTTTAATATTTTTAAAAATGTATGAGTTTTCTCATTAATTTTCATAGAAATCCCATGTTTTTTTATACAAAGCACACTCCAGGAATGACAACACAATAGAGATAAAACAAAGACCCTCAGTTGAACAAATGCCTGACTCATTCCTGAACTCTGGCAGTTCTTTTTTTTCTTTTTTAAAAAAGGGCAAAAAACTTTTTCAGGGATTTTGAAAACTTTTTTTGTTTGGGACATGGTCTGACATGAGACAAGAGTGAAGGTGTGAGGGCTGTCAAGTAACCACCTCCACAGATGCAGCCAACAGTAACATCTGCGTGTAGACAAAAGAAAAACAAAAGAAATGTGACTCATGAGCAAAACAGGTGAAGAGCTAAACAAAGAATCATTTGTATTTATCATCATCATTTGTATTTTACAGCTCATGTACTTAAAAAACTTTCCAAAAGTCCTTTATTAACTTTGCTGTTTGAGAAGGACGTCCTGTCGTCATTTGATTTGCAATAAAGTTAAGTTTTTGTGAGATGACTCAGAGTTGTTTAGTCTCACAAACTTTTAACCCCATGACACACAGACACGTTTTTGCTCCAGGATCAAGTTTCCACATGTGTTACAGAGTAGAGGAGCAACTCTGTGTACAAAGCATGACAAACAAATGCATGCATACATAATATAGTTAAAAGCAGGCATGCACACAGACATCTATCGGGAGCACAAAGTGCTGCCAGACACTGGACACAAATGGCCTGTTGTGTTGTTCAAAGCTGATTTAATTAGCAGTCTGATGTTGCACAGCACAAACTTACAACCAGGTGACGTGAGCTACTTATTGCCTCTGGGCTAAAAGGATTATTTAGGGTGTGCGAACAAATCTTGTTCTCATTTCTCAGCTCTTAGTTTCATTATTTTAAAACCATGTTCATCTCTCTGAACAGATGTGCTGCATGTGAAATGTTCCTTTTTTTCCAAGCCATTGAATTAAAGGTCGTTGTCAAGGCTAGTGAGCAGATACAAATCATGCAGTATGACACAGTCTATTGACATAGACCACACTGGAATGAGGTCTTTATTAATAGCTAATGAGCTGGACTCAATTTAATAGCTAAGCATCAACATAAATCTACCTGTGAGATAATGAGGTCAGTTGTTTGAATCTATTAGAGGCAGAGATGAGAGCTCAATGGCTGCCACCAGGGCTAGCAGGCCACCAGGTTTAGCATGTCAGCCAGCCAAGATCATGTATAAAAGTAAAATTATGTATCTCATTGCCTGATTTTTGGGCCATCAAATACCCAAATTACCTCTTAGCACAGCTCAGATATTGCGGTGCGGAAACACACAATAAAAAAAATACAATCAAACAATTAAGTTTTGAAACATTAGCAGTGATTTTAAAGTAATATTCCTTTTGGGTTTGTTTTCAGATTTGTGCTGTGTTGTTTTTTTTTATTAAAAAACTAAATGGAAAAGAAAAGGGGGAAATTAGCTCTTCTGTAATTGTTACACATTCCACTTGGCTGTTTTGTCAGTTACATAAATTGGAAACAAAAGTACATCTCAGAGCAGCCAATTCTCAATATTTAAAGTGCTCGTTTAGTTTGAGCTGATTGGTATTCATTTGCTCAGTGATACTACCAAAACCCATCAAAAATTGTTATCGCAATAACCACTGTTGTGGCTCATGTTAAAACTTTAACCTTGTCATGGCGCTAGAGAAAGGAGAAGTTCACTAAGATGTTTCACTCTGGACCAAAGTGGTAGACTGACAGATATTGCCATCTGCTGAGCCACGATCACAGCCAAAAACATTATTTCTACATCAGTTAGGTTCTGGTAAATCCAATAAACCCCCTGCAGTTCTTCAAAGAATCCAGAGAGTCATTGACCCCCTGTAGAAAACCACAAGGATTTTCAAACAATTCCTCAAAAGCTAACAGACCAGGGTTGTACTGTACATTTCATTTTGTTTGGACAAAGTGACAAAAGAACAAAATAGAATCACTGCCTCGCAGCTGTATGCCTCCGCAAACTGGTCGAGTTGCAGTTATAGTTCACATCCATGTCTGTCAAGACTCACATGTGGTTATGACAGTAGACAATACTTCAAATATGGATGTTGCTGCAAAAAAGCTACATGTTCTAAGACATGGACGTTCCACACACATCTTCCACCCAGCAGCAAGAAAGATCTATACAATCATCAGTTTCAAGTTGGACACCCAAGATTAGTGTCACTGATTCATTATCTGACCAAATGTGAGTTATGACGTTGAATAATGGCAAGAAAAGTGTTTTTGCAGAACATTATGATGTCACAGGGAAGTTGACCTTTGACCTTTTGGATATAAAATGTCATCATGTCATCTAATCCATTTATGTGAATATTGTCAGTTCATACTTGAGTCCAAGTGGACGTTTGTGCCAAATTTGAGGAAATTCCCTCACAGCCTTCTTGAGATATCACATTCACAAGAATGAGACAGATGCAAGGTCACTGTGACCTTGACCTTTGACCTCCAGCTTCTACTCAGTTCATGCTGGAGTCCTAGTGGACGTTTGTGCAAAAATTTGAAGAAATTCTGTCGAGGTGTTCTTGAGATATCACGTTCACAAGACTGAGATGGACAATGTCATCTTAACCTTTGACCTTCAACCACCAAAATAGAATCAGACTAGAGTCCAAGTGGATGTTTGTGCCAAATATTGAGAAATTCCCTCAATGCACTAAAGATTTTCCGTTCATGAGAATAGGACAAACAACCCGAAAACACATATGTATGTATGTATGTATGTATGTCTTTTGCATTACTCTAATTATCTGTCTGTATATAAACAGTCAGAAGGGAATGGTTCTTACTGTCCAGGTAGATGTGGTAAGGTTCGCTCCAGTCGCTCCACACTGGTGGGTTTTCCAGGCCGGAGCAGCGAACCTGGATGGTGTAGTTCAGTCTGGGCTTCAGCTCCAGAGGCAACCGGGGCTCTTCAGGTGCAGACACCACCTGGAGATAGCAGAGAGGATAAACATACACATGAGCACGTACACCAAACTGACTTCAGGATAGCTGGGGCGTGTTGCATGTGAGAATGATGACTAAATCAAATCCGTCATCACAACATAACTGTGGTTGCTGTTTAGTGTGTCGTCGACTGTAACTTTTACCAAACACACAACCAGGCTACAGATATGACTGGAAAGGGTGTGTTGACACCTGCAGCTTCTGGCCATTTTCCATGAAAGCATTTTTTATTATTTATCATATGACTGTTTTATACATAAGCCCAAAGCTCCATTCCCCTAAATTAATGTAAAACATATTAAAAGACACCATACAGTATTTATCTGCCCTTAAGATTCTTATACAAAATGTCTAAAGTCTGACCCCTGGATGAATCACGGAGCTTCTGATGCGCTGTCGAACGCTGAATGCACTGTTGAATGCTAAGTACACCGTATGAGGCCATTAAAATCCAACTGACTGTGAGCAAGTCGCACTGAATAAACACAATGTCTTGTCAGTGGAAATTTGTGCAGCATAAAAGCTGCATAGCTACAGCAAAGGGCAAATACAGTAACTTTAACTGTGACTCACTCACAGCATGACTTGTGTTTCTCTATAAAAACCTACTATAAGTGATTTAACGCCTGACGGTATGTTTTCACTTCTTCCTTTGATGCATATTTTGCACCTGACGTCAAGGCTGCCTTTGTAATCTGTAATTAGTATTTCGTGTTTGAAACCAAATGTATGTGTATTGTTAAAAATAGATTGGGAGATTGTTGCACCACTTTCTAATAAGGCACCCTTTATTAAGGGGTTATGAATCGTAACCAGTGTTCCGATTACTAGTTGCCCTGCTAAAAATGTATAAGCATGTAACTATTTTACTTACTTCATCAAAATAATATAACTAGGGATATTTTACAACCTGGAAGCCAAATGTTCTTATTAATAGCTTGTAAGTGACCTATAACCACTGATGAGGACATTGGAGTTTACAAACCCTTTCTAAAAGATACCTTTTTATAAAGTGGTACCGATACATTTCCTGTTGATGCAGTGGCAAACTCTCACAAGGCATCATTTTTTAGGTAACGTCATATCAATGCTTCGTGTCACCTGCCACTGTGGATGAGTAGTGTTAGAAGAGTATCGGACTTCGTATCTCAGCGGACCGGTATCAGAGTCTGACGGGTCATCCCATTGTAAAATCAGGTCGGCCTCAATGGTCTGATTATGTAACAGGTTGACTGGAGGACTTGGTTTCACTGCAGAAGAAGAACACAAACAGAAGTACATGTTTACAGAAGAATCACAGCAGTATATTGCTAATCATAACTTTGATCCTGTTTTAATATTAACAGCGTTAACATTTGAACAAAGGTTACTAAATCCTATGGATCATTACAATAACGTCATCCAATTAGAGGATATTTTTGCCACATGGCTCATAAAATTACTACATGTGGTTTTGCATCTGTAAGGATTTTAAAGATCGCGGCGTAGCCTTAAGGTCACCTTACTATTGGGTAAGTGATCTATCAATCAATCACATCATGAGTTAATGAAAAATATTGACAGAATATGATTCAACTTCTCTGCTTGGCATAAACTGTAAATTCACTTCGCCTTTTCGGCCTTTACATGTATATGAAGCTTATGCTCTTAAATGTCAGCTAATAACGAGGGGTTTGGAAATCATTTATGAACATGTAGCTGGGAACCATTAATATCCTGTGAATCACGCAGCACATTGAGTTTAATATTTGGACTCAATGATCATTTCTGGATGGATTTCTGAGGCGTAGGCTCAGACTTATATACACTGGAGTGAGACAGATGAAATAATGACAAATAAAGAAAGAGATAATTGAGTCTCATAAAACCACAAAGATGCCTACTGGGAGAGGAGAGCTTACGCAGCCAAATGAGTAACAGCTCAGTAATTTATTTTCCAGACTGTTCCCACTCTCTCAGGAGAAAGACCGGCCTTATCATTTCCTACCAAAGGGATCATTTAAACATGTTGAGGAGACAGTGACACAATAGACTGTTCAGCTCAAGTGCCCTTCAACAGAACAGATCTCAATGGTGGTTTATAGTACAGGTGACATTTTTACAGTCATAACCTAATCGTAATTCATAGTGCTGAATACACTGCACTATTACTAGTGCTAAAAATCTGGACATACAAACAACATGGCTGAATGAGAGTTCTTCTAGGGTACCAAACATGCAGGCCACAGCTGACATTCATTCATTCTTTCATTTTCTGTGACCGCTTATCCTCTTGGGGGTCGCAGGGGGATTGGAGCCTATCCCAGGTGACATTGGGCAAGAGATGAGGTACACCCTGGACAGGTCGCCAGACTATCGCAGGGCTGACAGCTTCACACCTACGGCCAGTTTAGAGTCACCAATTAATCTGCATGTCTTTGGACTGTGGGAGGAAGCCGGAGTACCTGGAGAAAACCCACATGACATGGGGAGAACATGCAAACTCTGCACAGAAGGGTTCCCGCACCCCGGGTTCGAACCAGGAACCCTCTTGCTGTGAGGCAACAATGCACCACAGGTTGGATTTTCACAGAACAGAAAATACGACATCTTTGTTTTAAAAGAAGAGTAAAGGCTTCACTAATGACACAGTAACCTAGACGCGATGAAGAGGAGCAAACTGAAGAGTGAAGAACTTGACACATAACACACTGGTACTGCTCAGTCTCTGTTCTGCTCTGTCAGTTTAACCCAAAAGGTCTGGTTGAGAAAACACAGCATGGAAAGTCCTCCTTTATCACTGTGGAGATCTCACAGCTTGAACATGGTTGCATACACACAGATACACACAGTACCATGGCCCAGCTGCGCTCAGCTATTCCAGTCACGTCTGCCAATCACAACTGAATAAATCTCCTCCTTATCTGTCCAGATTCAACACTTTGAAGCTGGACGCTGGAAAACTGTGGCATTTTAAACATTGATGAGCCCAGCATTACTTTCATACATGGCTGAATGTATTCACTAATGCTGGTAATTGAGTGACTTGCTGGAAACTTGCTTTTTATACTGTAAAACTGTGCATCCTTCTTCTCCGAAGAAAGTAACAGACAAGTGAGAGCTTGTCCTAACATAGAAAACATTTCCCAAGGGCTTTGAAATAACTACTCGCAAGATTCTTAATAATTCTTCACAGACATTAAACTGATAAGGTCAAGTTTTAGGTTGCCAGGTTGTGAGTTTGATAAGGCTGTTATTTACAACTTAATATAATTTATGCCTTACTACAATTACAAACTCATCTCTCAGTGAGTTGGCACCAATCGGCTATATCTGATATCTGATTTACAGATAAGTGACTTACTAGTATACAGTTTTGTCTGTCCTCGCTGAAGGTGCAACAGTTTGGGAGGACAACTACTTCAGTCCTCATATTTTACTACTAAGTTCACAGTCTGTAGTGGAAACACATATCTCTGAATTCCTCTATAACAGTTTCTTCCCAACTAATACAAAACAACTTACCAGGTTGGGCAGGAATCCTGAGTAAAACTGGTGGGGCAACGGCGTCTGAGATGCTAACGGTTACCCCGGTAACAAAGCTTGTCTTGGTGTCAAGAGCGACCGAACACATGAAGGAATCCTTCGCTTCACAGACAACAGGATTATCAGGGGCAGCGTTCCCATCGTCCACCTCTGCGTCTTTCTGGGACCTAGGAAATGGGTATATGGAAATTGAATATGATATCTGCATTCAAAAAACAGAATCAATACTTAGTGTCCCTGAACGACCAAAATAATACGACCTTATCCTCATTAGCATGAATGATAAATCTATGAACATAATTCCATGCCAACTGCCAAACTTTATCTACTGATGAAGACTGTACGAGACAACTAAAAGCTCCAGAACAGAACAGACCTTAAGGGGAAACAATTTTTTGAAATTGTGTTTGCATTTACAGTAAATATTTCAGAAGAGTGTACAACATGTACGAGCTGCACAACGTCTGGTATGTTTTATCAAGTGTGTGTCAGATCAGTGGTGAATTGGTCTCTGTATCCCACCACAATAAATGCCTGGGGCCTGTGTTATATCACGTAGCGCCCCCCTATGTAAATAATGTAAATACACATACTTAACCCCCTGCTGAGCAGTCGGGAAAGGTTCGGATCAGGCAAAATACACACACACACACACAAACACACACACACACACACACACAAATGCATACACAGTCAGGACGGGAAAGTGTCATACTCACAACAGACGCTGTAAGCTGACTGCCATGAGACCAGCATCCAGCGTGGTTGATGGTTGACTGTGAGACTGAAGATCACATGTTAAGTTCTCCCAGTTCTCATCAATTCTGCACAGTATGTCCAAGCAGGTGCCTGACAAGAAATCAAAATTGCATGTTAGTGGCACAATCAGCGGCATCTCAACACGTCATTTACAACAAATGACCGTGACCTTTAAATGAAGGCTTACGAGAACATGGCCTAGCTTCATATTCTGAGAACTAAGCCTCTACTATGAAATGAAACTTAGAGAAATATTATAGCTGCAAGCAGTAATATGGTGGTAAGGTAATATGGCTGGAAATGTAGTCATGAAGGGCAAAAAAAAAAAGGCACAGCAGCGCTTCAAGTTAAATGCTATTGTCAGCATGCTAACATGCTCACAATGATGATTCTAACATGCTAATGTTTAGCAGTTTTAATGTTTACCATATTCACCGTCTTAGTGTAGTGTGTTAGCATGCTAACATTTGCTAACTAGCACTAATTACATGATAAAGCTGAGGATGATGGGAATGTCACCAGGTCTGCAGGCAATTAGTCATAAACCACAGTATGTGACAAATGAAACTAGAATTACACCTTGTGATTGTATGTCTCCACAAACCAGTCAAGTTGCGGTTTCAGTTTACATCCATGTCTGTCTGTTGACAATGCACCTGGTATGGATGTTGCTGCAAATAAGCTTCATATTCTAAAACATGGATGCTTCACACACATCTTCAACCCAACAGCACAGAAGATCTATACAATCACTGCAGTTTCAAGGTGGATACCCAAGATTAGTGTCACCAATTCAGTATCTGACCAAATGTCTCCTCTTCTGTTCCTGAGCTACAGTGTTAAATAATGGCCAGAAAAGTGTTTATGCAAAACATTATGATGTCACAATGAAGTTGACCTTTGATCTTTTGGATATAAAATGTCATCACATCATTTCATTCTATTGGACATTTGTGAGAAATTTTGTCACAATGAGTGTAAATATTCTTGCATTTTGGCCCCAAACATGTTTTGTGAGGTCACAGTGACCTTGACCTTTGACTTTTGATCACCAAAATCTGATCAGTTTATACAAGCTGACATTTGTGCCAAATTTAAAGAAATTTCCTCAAGGTGTTCTTGAGATATGGCCTTTGCGATAATGAGACAGATGAGGTCACAGTGATCTTGACCATTGAACTTTGCCCTGTGAAATCTAATCAGTTCATTGTTGAGTCCAATTTGAAGAAATTCCCTCAAAGCATTCTAAGGTTTTGCGTTCACAAGAATAGGATGGATAGACAGATGTACAACTTAAAAACATTATGCCTCCTGCGTAGGAGCATAAAAATTGATCTGATAATGGGGCTAAAGGGAAAAAAATATTAGCTTAAGGTCACCAAAGTTATTACACTTCAATCTGAGTGTGTCTGTGTCTGTACCAAATTTCATAGCAATCCATTCAATAGTAATTAAGATATTTTAGTTTGGACCAATGTTGTTAACTAATAGATCAACACTGCCATTCAAAGTCCAAATGAAATCACATTTAGTCATGCCTTCGTGCAACTGTCTGAAGTGTCAGTGTTTTATTGACTGCAGCTAGAATGCTGCCAGAGTGACGGTGTTACACCTTAGGGAACCAGACACAAAGCTGTAACCTTCATGTCATTGGTGTGGTGTCGGTGGTATTAAAGAGTAAGGATTGCACCTGCATATAACTCAGGGGTGCCCAAACTTTTTTGAACAATGGCCAGATCAGATAATGGGAAAATGCCTGAGGACCATTTGCTTCTCCCATCATATGGGTTATTGCTTCATCTTTCAGTGAAAGCGGCCAAGTCTGCACTGTGGCCACGTCTGCTCCCTAGCAGGAAATGTTTGCTGTAGGGTAACTGTTTGTTTACTTATTTACTGACTGTTTATCAAAACTAGCTTTTTAAAATTAGCTATTTATATGTGATATGAAATGTATTTCAGTTGAATAAAATGTATAACTACAACATGTCCTCTGTCTGCCACACAAAAAAGAAAAAAATGTCGTATTTATAAAGTTTAACATTTAGTATTTATGTCCGACATTGTTGCATATTATACTCATCCACAGCAGGATTAATTCTGGCCTAATAATACTAATAGCGTCATTAATACTCAAGTGTTTCTTTGTTCAGTCTCAGGCTTCTGCAGTTGTTAGCCCACACTTGTCTTGAAGACATTTTTGGTGCTGAAAGCAACAAAAGGTGCACACAAAAATAATTATGACTAACAAGCAAACACACGAATGAGCAAAATGACTAAGGACCTTGAAGGTAAATCAAAATTCTGACTGTCAAAACACCTCATGAATCTGTCAGGAGACACAGCGTAGGCCCTAAACTCCTATGCTACATCATTGCTTAGAGACAAAGCTGGAAGGTCTCCGTTAATTACCATTGATTTGGATGCGTCACAGCCCCTCACAGATCGATGAATACAAACAAATCTCCTCACCTCCCTCATGTCTCAATTTTGCCTCACCTCCATCTTCACCTCCACACTGGCAATATAAGGAGAGCATTTTATAATTATGACTCACTTGAAGTGGCTCTTTGCTCCTAAACTCAACCATCTTTGTACATTCTCTTCTTGCTCGAGAGGAGTGCTGCTTAACGATTTCCTGGTTAAGTAGAAAAGGTAAGAAACACCTGGCTTGATTCTGTTGTGCTGAGAGAAGGGAATCCCAGTGAACAAGACTACTGTCTTGTTAAGTGGCAGCAGAAGGCTCACACGATCACCCACTGTGATGAGAAGCAAATAAGGGTGCCAGCACAAAGGCCATTAAAGTGTAATGAGCCTGTCAGGCTCATCTTTAGAGGCGTCTCTATCACTGACAAGTGACCACACTGCAGGGAGAATCACGTGGCTCTGTCCTGCTGTTTGCTCTGATGAGCAGTAGCCACTTCATATAGCTACCCTGTTGCTACTCAGGAAAACAAGTATAAATGTTTTCTTGTAAACACACGGTTGTGTTTGTCCTGTACATCTTGTCTGAAGCATTGAATAGCATGAAGTGTCAGTGTAGTAGAGCACAAACAAAACAAGGATCATACAAACATTGTTTTGTGGTGGCGCTAGTGGTCAAATTTTACACAGGATACCTTTAAATTGTAGGAAACACCAGCTTCAGTTGCAGTATGTGATGTCAACCAGGTGTCCTAGTCATAACATTGGTATTGGATGTTTCAGCACCTCATGATTTACGTCTGATGCCAGTATTCAGTGCCAATGCAAGAAGCAGCATGCCCAAAATGTTGCAGGGTGGAAATTAAAGGATGGCCGAAAGGCCTGTTACAAGTTTAACTTTCACACAGAAGCCAAGAGGTTCAGCCACACACCTGCAAATAAAATCTTTCTTACATCATGCCTTTTCTCTAACCTCAGCTAAAAGTATAAGTTGCCTAACCCTTGTCATACCTTAACCATAGCTCATGAACCGTGATCCTTACTTTTCTGTTACCTTAAGTAGCATTGGGTGTGAAGACAGCAAATAAAAACAAAAACTTGTCCGTGAATGTAATCCAGGGTTTTGCAGAATAATCCAACACTTTGTGAAAACTGAATTTTCTGTGTGTTTGGTTACTTTTAAATATTGTGTTTAGATATCCTCCTAAAGCACTGCAGAGTTCCTGGTGAATTAAAAAGTTTGAATACAGAAGTGCAGTAGATATACACTTTCTGAGTCAAAGATAATTGTATTGATGAGCAAAAGGTTTTGGGCCTTGGTAGAAGTTGGTCTCACTACCCTGCAGCCTCACAGCATGATATGAAAAAAGAAACTGATGCCTGTTTAATTGCCTCTAATTGTCTTTTTGGAGATGTGTAACACAGATACATGTGTACAAAGCAAAAAACTACACGTGAGTTGAGATAACTGCCAGGTAGTCCAGCTCGTTGGGTGCAAAGAGACTCACAGATACAAGAAGTGAGCGTAGCTTCAGTGTGGTATTTCACAGGCTCAATGCTGCAGTTGGAGTAAACACATAAGATCAAACTTAACTGTTGCCTTCTGCATGTTTTCAAAGGGTTGTGAGGAAGGCTGATGAATAGGAATCAGCCATTGCAAAACCTGCCAAGCAAAGTTTGATATTACAGTGCTCATGTGTGATTTTACTGTGAAAATAAGGACATGATGTGAAATACTTCCCATGCACTGACTCTTTCAACAGGGCCTTGTCAACCAGGAGAGGAGCACCTTGACGAACCCTCAATGAATCATTTCTTTGCTAAGAAACATTTTTAATAATTTCTCACCGCCAGAGGGCTCATGTGGATGTGATTCGCTTGTCGAGCCCCTGAAGCTGCAGAGGGGATGTTGTGGGAGGTTTGATTCAGAGCGGTTTGTCTCCGGTGCGTGCGTGTCGTCTCCCTCCGCAGTGAGGTGGGTTGAAGGTGAGTCACAGCACAGCTCATCCTGCCACGGGAGGTCCAGGGCACCTGAATGGTCAGACGCTCCGTTTTCAGGCTCCAAACACTGAGCACCTGCTCAGAGAGAGGCAGGGAGTTAACTCAGGTTTGACACATGGATGAGGGGGGGGGTTGAATATGTGCAGTGTTATTTCTGCATCCAACAAGCAAAATTATACTAAACTGAACATCATATACCAAAGACAGTGTTTTAGTTTTTTTTTTATTTTTGAACAACTAGTTGCTGCTTTGTATTTATGAATAGAGGCATAAAAGTTTCAGTCTGAGTTTCTTCCTTTTACAAATATAAACTTTTTAAGATTACAATATAAATTCAGATTATTATGTAAACTACTTCTAAGCAATGTATTCAATGTGTACAACGCAATGCATTCCGTTAAGCAATAACGGAAGAGCAGACCTGATTTTAAAAAAAGTTGTCAAAGTACAATGACTAATGTTTTTTTGTCTTGTAAGTTGTAAGTTAGTTAATGAAATGTTATTTTTTTTTGCCCAAGCTTCTTTTGACTTGGTAAATATCTGTCCCCATATCAGCAAAATGCTTTATCATTACCAAACATAAGTTATATATATATATGCCAGTTTTATAGAGTAAAAAGACAAAATGACAGAATTAAATAATAAAGCCTCAGCCACTGGTTTTAACGGCAGTCTGTGCGTCAGAGCAAAAAAAGAGACAGCACGAGAGGAGCACAAAGACCTTGTTAGTGCAGACCTTAAGTGATATTGATTTAGCTCAGGAGACACTCATCGTGTAGATTTGACAACTGGTGGAGAAGAAAATTACTGTACTGTCAGAGAAGGGTAGTTGTTCTCTTTTTGACACCACATGAGCTGCACAGGGAATATCTGTCAACTGTGCCTGTGGATATTCCCATTTATCCAGGTTATAGTTATCTCAAGGCAATTGAATCGAATGCAACTGTTTATTTAACTATATTCCTGTTTATTTAACTATATATTTGTTAATACTATTGTTTAAATTTCTTATATTTTCACGTATCTTTCCTCTCTTGCAAGGAGCACCTGTGACATAAATAATTTCCCCTCGGGGATCAATAAAGTATTTCTGATTCTGATTCTGATTCTGGACTTAGTTTTGGTGGGGGATAGGTGGTGTCGCAGACCTCCTCCTCTATTGAGAGATGGCTTTTCCAGTTTCACATACAGTACAGGCCAAAAGTTTGGACACACCTTCTCATTCAATGCGTTTTCTTTATTTTCATGACTATTTACATTGTAGATTCTCACTGAAGGCATCAAAACTATGAATGAACACATGTGGAGTTATGTACTTAACAAAAAAAGGTGAAATAACTGAAAACATGTTTTATATTCTAGTTTCTTCAAAATAGCCACCCTTTGCTCTGATTACTGCTTTGCACACTCTTGGCATTCTCTCCATGAGCTTCAAGAGGTAGTCACCTGAAATGGTTTTCCAACAGTCTTGAAGGAGTTCCCAGAGGTGTTTAGCACTTGTTGGCCCCTTTGCCTTCACTCTGCGGTCCAGCTCACCCCAAACCATCTCGATTGGGTTCAGGTCTGGTGACTGTGGAGGCCAGGTCATCTGCCGCAGCACTCCATCACTCTCCTTCTTGGTCAAATAGCCCTTACACAGCCTGGAGGTGTGTTTGGGGTCATTGTCCTGTTGAAAAATAAATGATCGTCCAACTAAACGCAAACCGGATGGGATGGCATGTCGCTGCAGGATGCTGTGGTAGCCATGCTGGTTCAGTGTGCCTTCAATTTTGAATAAATCCCCAACAGTGTCACCAGCAAAACACCCCCACACCATCACACCTCCTCCTCCATGCTTCACAGTGGGAACCAGGCATGTGGAATCCATCCGTTCACCTTTTCTGCGTCTCACAAAGACACGGCGGTTGGAACCAAAGATCTCAAATTTGGACTCATCAGACCAAAGCACAGATTTCCACTGGTCTAATGTCCATTCCTTGTGTTTCTTGGCCCAAACAAATCTCTTCTGCTTGTTGCCTCTCCTTAGCAGTGGTTTCCTAGCAGCTATTTGACCATGAAGGCCTGATTTGCGCAGTCTCCTCTTAACAGTTGTTCTAGAGATGGGTCTGCTGCTAGAACTCTGTGTGGCATTCATCTGGTCTCTGATCTGAGCTGCTGTTAACTTTTGATTTCTGAGGCTGGTGACTCGGATGAACTTATCCTCAGAAGCAGAGGTGACTCTTGGTCTTCCTTTCCTGGGTCTGTCCTCATGTGTGCCAGTTTCGTTGTAGCACTTGATGGTTTTTGCGACTCCACTTGGGGACACATTTAAAGTTTTTGCAATTTTCCGGACTGACTGACCTTCATTTCTTAAAGTAATGATGGCCACTCGTTTCTCTTTAGTTAGCTGATTGGTTCTTGCCATAATATGAATTTTAACAGTTGTCCAATAGGGCTGTCGGCTGTGTATTAACCTGACTTCTGCACAACACAACTGATGGTCCCAACCCCATTGATAAAGCAAGACATTCCACTAATTAACCCTGATAAGGCACACCTGTGAAGTGGAAACCATTTCAGGTGACTACCTCTTGAAGCTCATTGAGAGAATGCCAAGAGTGTGCAAAGCAGTAATCAGAGCAAAGGGTGGCTATTTTGAAGAAACTAGAATATAAAACATGTTTTCAGTTATTTCACCTTTTTTTGTTAAGTACATAACTCCACATGTGTTCATTCATAGTTTTGATGCCTTCAGTGAGAATCTACAATGTAAATAGTCATGAAAATAAAGAAAACACATTGAATGAGAAGGTGTGTCCAAACTTTTGGCCTGTACTGTAGATGGCTTCTTTTACACCTCTTTCGAACCATCTGTCTTCCCTGTCCAAAATGTGCACATTGCTGTCTTCGAAGGAGTGTACTTTCTCCTTGAGGTGTAGATAGACAGCTGAGTCTTGTCCTGACGAGTTAGCCCTTCTATGTTGGGCCATGCGTTTGTTTAGTGGTTGTTTTGTTTCACCAATGTACAAGTCTGGGCATTCCTCACTGCATTGGACAGCGTACACCAGGTTGCTCTTCTGAGTGTGTGGTGTACGGTCTTTTGGGTGTACCAGTCTTTGTCGTACTGGGTTTGAAATACACAGGGATGCTGTGTTTGTTGAAGATCCTCCTGAGTTTTTCAGATACCCCAGACACATAGGGGATGACAATGTTGTTAGTAGAAAGAACAAGGTGGGTGATGAAGAAAAGAACAAGCGCAATAACATTGCGTTGACACAACGTTGACACACCATTGGAGCACTAACGAACCAGTGACATCATTGGCCTTGTGAAGACCTCCCCAGAGGTTAAATACCTGGGTTGTTTCCACACCAGTTTGTCAGACTAGTTCCAGCCTAGGCTGACAAGCATGAACTGATGAAGCCTCTTGGATAACAGGTGAAACATCTTCTAAGACAAAACTAAGTCCAGTCGCGTTCGATTCAATTGCCTTGAGATCTGTCAACTGTAATCTCAAATATCAACACCGGTATGAGGATGCTGCATCCTGTGTAACTAGACATTATATAGACTAACATACCGCGATCAGTGTCATCTGAGGACTACTTAAATAGAAATGTCAGTCCCAAGCTAAAATCAATCTTAAACTACTACAGATAATTCAAAAACACAGTAGGGATTTCAGTATTTATTGACCACCATCGCCATCTAAGAACGTCAAAACTGACACTTTTACACATTATTAACATCCAGAATCACATCTGTTGGTTACACTTACATAAAAAATAAACTCCGCACACTGATGTGGAACAGTCCAACACCCAGTGCATGACTCATTACCTACCGCAACAACGTCACAGCGTTTGGTATTGTTTTGTTTCACCTTGTGAGTATGTCTCTGTGGTGAAATGTTCTGGTGACACCTATCATAGCAGGAACTTTGCCAGGTCTTTAAATGTCTGTCGCACGTCCCACTTTACGCCCCTGGCTTACGAAACTTTACAGGTGTGTAGTTGACATGACAATGGCGGCAGAGTTTGTCTGAGCATGTGCGCCAAAAGTAGCAGGGTAGGAAGAAGGGAAGCCTGCAGCTGGAGTTACCTCAGTGCAAGATGGTCTCTAATTTAAAATGTGAGATTAAGATTAATTATTAGCACCCCTTGGCAAAACCTCACAGTGTTGCATAATATTGTAAAAGCTTTTCTGTTTATTGCAATTGTGAAATTTATTTTTCGACACAGAAAAACAAAACGAGATAAAAGAAGACATCCTACAAGCTGGGAGGTCACGGCTGTTGTGTTAAGGGTTTAACTCACCATGGGGTGCCAGGAAAAAGTGTATCAGGACTGTCAGCATAACAGACCTAACCCTGCAGGGAGACAGAGAGGGGTCGTAATGAAGGGATGGAGAGAGAGGAGGAAAAAAATATTGACTTCAGCTGCACAAAGAGCAAAACAGGTGGTGAGAGACACAAGAGGCACAGGCTAAGACAGAGACTGTCAAGTAGCACTTGATCTAAGGTTGTTGCATACAATGTAACACAAAGGGCCTAAAACATTCTGTGTTTAAAGCTTTTTCAGCGGTATCTTTTATCTTTTCAAAACTCCAACTGGTGCAATTTTAAGAATGTGGAAACTGCACGTATGATCCATCTTCAGTGTTCTAGCGAATCCTCTGTGACGCATTTAGAATTAGCTGAAAATGTGCAAGACTTCTGCAGGTTACGCATGATATATAAAGGATTACCAACAATCCGTGCTCGATTGAAACAAAGACAGAATTATGATTTCCAAATCTGATAACATTCAAAGATGAACCGGTAACATGGGAGAGCAGTGGGAGGTGTAGGTGTGTGTGCCACTGCCAACTACCCCGTGCCAGGAAACTTGGGTTTGACACAGTTACGCAGAACAGTGGAAGAACTGGTGGACCAACTTCTCTACAGTTGTAATGACTCACCAGACAAAATCTCATCTGTGAAACGTTGCAACACAAGACACTGGTCAGCGGCTCATATTAACAGCTTTTCAGCACCTCAGCTCCGAGCAGACAGTGGTGTCTACTTACGCTCAGACTGCTTCCTCATTCATCCGAAAGCAGTGGCTCCTTTTCACCACCACTTCCGTCGCCCTGTTATCAACACTGCATGTGCTCATTTGAACACCATTACATACTATTAACTATGATACTGTTACAGTATTGATTTTTACACAAGACATAGTCACTGTTTAGGCTTCGCCTTTTTTTCTTCTCTTCAGGTTTGGTCAGGTTTGTAGTTGTATTACTACTTTGAGAAGCTGAAGCTGGATGTTTCACCATTTTAGCCTTATATTTAGTTATCTATATTACTAATTAGTTTTTACGCTCTAAATCACACCATGAGATAGTCAGGTGCTACAGCTGACTCAGCAGTTGGGAGGAGTGTCCTGGTGCAATCATGGCTGGTAGAGGATTGCACTTTGTCAAAATTAATACACTAAAGATCAGCACTGCAGCAATTCCTAATCCTATCTGTGGAGTTTTTGGGACTGACCAACCTCCAGAGCAACCTATGGAGCTGCTGGTTGCAGCTATTAAAGATGTCTAAAAATGTACTACTAATTACTATTTACCGGGTCGTGCTGTTAGCAGCTGCTCCAACATTAAGCTTAAACTCCAGTAAATCATTTTCTCATTCATGTGCTTCCCCAAAATCCTCTTACTTCACCTAAAACCATCATCTCTGCAAAGTTATGTTTCCTGGCTGCAAGGAAAATAATTCCACTTTCACAATTTCATGACTGTCAGATTGTTATTAAATTATGTATTTCACCTAATTACAGGGTGAGATATCATTGCAACGTTTCCTTCATTATACAGTCATCATCCGTGACTGCTTATCATGTTCACGGTCCAGGGGAGCAGGAGCCTATCCACGTTGGCATTGGGTGCCAGGCGGGGTACACCCTGTACAGGTCGCCAGACTATCACAGGGCTGACACACAGTGACAAACAACTATTCAACCTAACCTGCATGTCTTTGGACTGCAGGAGGAAGCCAGATTACCTGGAGAATAACAGAATAGAACAGAATAACATCCACATTCACATACACCACCTTCATCTATATACTGCAGAACTTACATTGTAGTAGTCATAGCGTGAGCATGGCCTGGCTGAGCTTTGTCTGGGGTGAATCTCACTGAGGAAAGAGAAGAGAGAGAAGTTATAAAGGATTTGAAGCAGCACTGCAAGCAAGTCAATTGTGACCCAAGCAGGACCTAAGACCTGTGTTGTGACTGGAATAAATAAGGGTAACAGAATAGTGAACAAGTTAATGAAGAAAATACTTGAAATTCTTGACAAGGGTAGAACCACATGAACGGCAAAGGTAATTTTACTGGTGGTGGGATTAAAAGACTTTCTCAGACGCGTCCTATTTCAGAGGCAGATCTCTCCTTGATAGGAGCGCCTCCCACTCTCCTTCTCTAACCTTCTGTAATGCAAAAAAAATGGACCCGAAAAGCAGGGTAAAAGCAATCAATATTGTACTTGGTAAGAAGTTCTAAGTTTGGCAACAGGTAATCAGTCAGTGAAAGAAAGCAGGTGAGCAGAACCAGGAACAGGCAATTACGACTGAGTAATGCATTAGATGATCTAGTTAAAGAGGGCTGGTAAATATGCAGACAAGAATGAAGGAATGGGGATCAGGTGACTGTGCATGGTGGGAACATACTAAGGGGAACTAAAGGGCAGGTGGGGAACAGCAGGTATTTGAAATGGCAGGAGAGATTAGTGTCTGGAAAAATAGGAAAATTGGCAAAATTGTCAGAAACAGAGGCAGGCATTGAGGCATCTTCACTGATAACATGCTCAGAGCTGCTGTTCATTCATGATAAAAGCTACCACAGACCACAAGGAGGGACTTTATTTTCTCTAGAAGTCATCATCATATGACAGTACCATTTCCTAGATAGACACCCGCACAGTTAGATAACAAGATGTTAGTTATTTTTTTCCACTTTTAATTCTCTCTAGACCTTTTTTGCCCATAACAGTGTGATCATTCCTTTTCAAATAATTCATACTGTGTTTTTTATTTTGATCGACACTGCCTTTGATTATAAAGCTCTCCGCCGCTTGTTGTGTTGCCAACTGTGAGCAGCAAGGCAATAAATTAACACGGGGTAACTTCACACAAGCCAATGAGCACATCTATTAAACCACTGAGCACAGCATGCAGTTACAACCGTGGACAAGTTGAAGTGTATGTGTGTGTGTGTGTGTTTGTGTGTGTGTGTGTGTGTGTGTGTTTGTGTGTGTGTGTGTGTGTGTGTGTGTGTGTTCCTGCAGGGAACTTTGAGCTCAGTGTGCCTGTCATAAGGTGATCACTTGCCAATCGAGCTGTAAATATGTACTCAATTTTGTCAATGTTTAGAAGGATTTGTCGAACTGAATGTTCTGTTTGTGTGTGTATCTTCAGTGCAAACAATAACAGACAGGAAGAGAGGTTGTATGACCAAAAAAAGAAGAAAAAAAGTAATCAATTAACTGTGGGATGCAAAGGTGTGTCATCAGCGTAAAGAGAGACTGCAGAACAAAACAAGATCTCATGTATTTAAACACACCTATTCCCTATTCTCATCTTCAGGTATTCAAAGCAAACACTTCTCTAGAACTTGTGATAGCATCAGCAGCTCATGAAATGAATAATAACCAGTTATGTAGTACTCAGTGTTATCACTTATCTATCAATGCTTGAAAGCAGAAATGTGTCTGTGCTTGCTAGATAAAAAACCTTACAGTAGCCTCCATACTGTGACTGATTAACTGAAAACTTAAATCTACCAGGTTCAATGTGGCGTTAATGTTTGATTGTGTTGGAAGTTTATTATTTTCAACATAGAACATGTTTTGGTGGACTTTTTCTCTACCACTGATTCAAAATAGAGAAACACACAGAGATACGCATGCACCAGAGACAAGCACCTCAGTTGCCAGCTGCTTGCTTCTTCAAACAGAGGAATTAAATAACATATTTTTATGTCATTATATTTTGCCTATAACATGGGTTTAGCTTTTTTTCTGTTAAAAAATGATAGAAAAACAGACAGAAATATCAATATTAGCCTCAGGTTGTAGTGAAATGTTGCACATCACTTTTCACTTGCATGCTAGATGGACAGAAGCAGCATCCCCGGTCCCTTATTGTCACAAAAACTTGCAGCCTCTGCTCCATCCATGATATCAGCATACAGTGTATTATGATGAGAGAATTCTATTCAGAAACTGTTCATGGATAACAGATAAGTCTATTTTCCATTAATGCAATACCTGTCACCATCATCTGCAGCACCACACAGCAATCCTGCTCACTGATTTGCACCACCGCCTACACAGGTTTAATCTGGGAATATTAATAGGATGGCTGTCACAGTATAAACAGCATCATAATCATATCATGCTATATTGTTCATCATCATATTGTCCAAGCCTTGTGAGGACCAATCAGTCTCAGAGCCAATAAGACTCAAAAGACACAGACGATGTTACTAACACTTTGACACTCATATCTGTCATTATGAGTCAGGATTTAGAGCTCCAAAGACCCAACTGTTGGATTACTGGATGCTCTTTTTTCTCATTGCTGGTGCATAATAACCACAGAGCCAATAATAATCATCACTCAATGGCCTTTTTACATTTGTCCATTAAGACTGATGTGGTTCTAGTCTTCCTGTAATTAAAGTTCCAGTTTGTAGGATTTAGGGGAATATATTGCCAGAAATAGAATATAATATAATAAGTAAGTTTTCTTCAGTATATAATCACCTAAAAATAAGAATCAGTGTGTTTTTCTTACCTTAGAATGAGCCATGTATATCTACATAGGGGGGCGGGTCCACAGAGATCGCCATGTTGCACTGCCATTTTTCTAAAGTTGCCCAGAACGGACAAACCAAACACTGGCTCTAGAAAGGGGCCATTCGCATTTTCACATTTTCACAAGCAGCCCCCTTGTGGCGAGAGTGTTGGAAAAAAAAACAGTTTTTTCTTTTTTTTCTTTTCTTTCTTTCTTTTTTTTTTTTTTTTTTTTTTTTTTTTTTTTTTTTTTTTTTTTTTTTTTTTTTTTNGGGTCGGTTGGTTTACTTTATTAGGGCTTTATTTAGGGTCGGTCGGTTTACTTTGGAGAGGAAGAGACCTCTGCGAATAATTCGGCTCCCAGTAAATCCCTGAACATCCGGATCTTAAGTTATCAGGAAAAAAAGGTGAGAACAGATTAGCAGGTGCTAGGCTGCTAATCTGTCAGAGAAACACTGATTTGTAATGTGAAACTGCTTTATTCAGTGTTGAAATCACCGGGTATTTTCAAAAGCTCCTAAATGTCTGGAGCAGAAATAAAGTGAGAACACATTAGCAGGTGCTGGGCCAGTGGGCCATCTGCAACATGCAGCATAGAGTAGGAGATATACTTATTTGTAATGTCAGACTGCTTTATTCAGTGTTTTATCGGTTTAAGCCACCTGGTCCATTTGTTTTGAAGAGGAGACCTCTGCAGGTAATTCAGCTCTCGGTAAAAACCTCCTGAATGGGCTACCCACTTGCTCAGTAGGTGGAGCAGGAGCCCCATGTACAGAGGCACTGTCCTTGCCACACTGCCCTCTGCTGCATGACATCCCCTCCTAAACAATGAACACTGCAGAAATTCTAACCAGAAGTTTCAGCTGGTTGCAATCTGCAATCCTCACCACTAGACGCCACTAAATCCCCCTAAATCTTACACACTGTTCCTTTAAGTATCTTGCAGCCTTTGCTGTGGTATAAAAACAGATGAGATGCTCAGATAGAGCTACACCTCACTACAGAACCAACAATATTGATATTATCTTCTTAATAAAAGAGATGACTGCCTTCTTTTCTCCTGCTTCCTCACCTTCTTTGGAAACAATGAGGCTCGCTCAGATCAAGACAACTGTCTGAAACTATTTTCCACATGCAGAGAGGAAGCTCTGCCCCTCTGCTCCGTGTCCTCCAAGGGCTCCACCTCGCCAACTATTCATCCTGCTCTGACTCACTCCCTGCCAGGTTCAAGCTGCTCTGCAGAGGAGGCGCGCTGGGGCTTATACCCCGCCCCCCCCCCAACACGGGCATATTTCTTATTCTCTAAAGTTTTTTTTCCAGTGTTTCCAAACAGCATGTGTGATAAATAGACATTTTCAGTGGCTATTATGTTGGCGACAAGTTTGCCTTGATGAAAAGTGCATCATGAACATGAGAAAAAAAGTTTCATGTTTCATGAAAAGAGGGGTTAATGTGAACCCACAGACAATGCGCTGCACGTTCCCACTGGCATTATGAAGTATCTATCTATCTGGAAGAAGCGATAGACATAGCCTAGGTAAATGCCAGGAAAAACCACACAATACATCAGAAGTCAGAACAGAAGTCACAAACCGAGATGTCACTTTGACAGAAGTGGGTGAGTAATTCGCCACCTCAGTGTGAAAGACAGACAGAAAGCGCAAAAGGTCATGAGGACTGTTGGCAGCCCGACAGTAAACACATCATATAGGAGCGTTAAAAGTGAGAATTAGTAATTATGAAACTGAGTCCTTACAACGCTCCTGGAAGTTTCCCCTGGCTTTGTGTCCAGCTCTTCTTTTGTCCGAGTCAGAGTCCATCCAGGTGAGTTTAAATCCTCTGTGAGGCAGATTCAGTGCGCCTCTGTCAGAGTCCGCTGTCCATGTTTGGGTCCGAGACCAACAACGATGATGAGGATTTCCCCCCAGACAATATCGTTTTCTCTCTGTCACGCTTTTTCTTTGACGTAGAGACCAGCTGAGCCTCCCGGCGTAAAGAAATGAGACTGAGCAGCAGAGCAGAGAGAGGAGGGAGAGGAGACAGAGGAGAGAGAGGCTCCGACAGACACAGCAGCGTCCAGCCCACTGCGGTGCGTTCAGGAACACTCCCGGAAATCCTACCGCTCAGGATGCTTCCTTGGAACAACCTATGGATAAAAACAAACAAAACACCCAAGGGTGGAGCTTACAGTAAGCTACATCTAATCAAGCACAAAATTTGAATACAACATTGAAGTGCTCTACGTCTGCTCCACACGGCCCACATGTCAATGGGAAATATGGTTAGGCTACTTTTATCTGACATCCACATTGTGATTTTACACTTAAATTATATAATTATAGAAAAGCATGGTTACAGATTAAATTCCTAACAATACAGACCCAGATGGCATGTTGTCCACTGTCCACTGAATTATGTTTTAATTTTGAAAGATACATCAACTTCGATTTCGCCTTGTTGTTTCAAAATTGCTTCAGCACTGAAACAGATATTTCTGAAATTTATGATTTATGAGAATTTGTTAAGCTCTTTACAACCATCATAATCTGTTGAATCGAATCAAGAACTGACATAATTTCAACCACATTTCAACACTGAAAGCTGGTCATGTGCCAGTTGGGGAGTGGCACAGGAATGAGTCCTAAAACACAGGAATGAGTTAGCATTTTAGCATGCTCGTCTTGAAATCAGTGTTGTTGTTTTTTCATGTGTTTTTGGTTAGATGTCTGAAATTAAGGTCTGGTTTTAGGTGTCTTTAAAATGGCTGCTCGTCATCACGCCAAACATGGCTTTACAGCTTTGTTGTGGGGGTGGCATAACGTTTGCGCTTCAACAAACATTACAAGTGATGTTAATTTGTGATTTTCTTGTGGAACAAAATGTGCAAGTATCACAATGTTTGTTTGCCACAGTGCAATGGGGAAATCACATTTGCTTTTTGACAAAGGAGCCAAAGACAACGCAAACTTAAGCAACGGCCTGTTTAAAAACGTCATCCCTGGAGCATTCTGTAGAAATTAGTTCATATATGCTCAGTTTTGACCATCCATCCATCCATTCATCCATTCATCCATTTTCATCCACTTATCCGTGGGGGCAGGAGGCCAAGCAAAGCACCCCAGACATCCCTCTCCCCATCAACGCCTTCCAGCTCCTCCTGGTGGACCCCAAGGCGTTCCCAGGCCAGATGAGATATGTAATCCCTCCAGCTTGTTCTGGGTCTGCCCTGGGGCCTCCTACCAGTGGGATGTGCCCAGGAGGCATCCTGATCAAATGCCAGAACCACCTCAACTGACCCCTTTCAATGCAAAGGAGCAGTGGCTCTACTCCGAGCTCCTTACCCTATCTCTAAGGCTGAGCCCAGCCACCCCACAGTGGAAACTAATTTCTGCCACTTGTATCAGCAATCTCATTTGTTCGGCCACTACCCAAAGCCCATGAGCATATGTGAGGGTTGGGACGTAGATGGACCGGTAAATCGAAAGCTTCGCCCTCCGGCTCAGCTCCCTCTTCACCACAATGTTCCAGCACAGCGTCCATATCACTGCAGAAGCCTCACCAAACTGCCGATCCATTTCATGCTCCATTCTACCCTCACTCGTGAACAAGACCCCGAGATACTTGAACTCCCCGCTTGAGGCAGGAATTCTCTCCCAACCCAAGCAGTTTTGACCAACTGATCAAAAAATGATCCAGTCTTACGTTCTTAAGCTTTTCTATTATTTGGAGGTTTCATTTACTACTTATTTATTTTATGACTTATTTTATTGCTATTGTTTTGTTTGTGTACTATGTATTCATCACATTATGGATGGGTTACCGAACTAGCCAATAGGCCACTGGCCCATATGCCCAAAGTGTCAGGGCCCCCATAGCCTTCACTTATGTTCATATGTTGTATGAAACAAAAAGAGACACAAAATTATCTCAAAGAGATCAAGTTTTGGTTCTATCTCCAGAACATCCCACTTTTGGCTGGTTTTGTTTTGTCCTGCTGCCAAGGGAGTAGCCAAACATGTTGCTCCCTACAAATGCTAAATATCTCTGTGGACCAGCAACTTCCCTTCTTTATGGATTTATTATTCTCAAGAAGCATTTTTCTTTTTTACAAATAATTGAGTTTGCAGCTGTGCACATAAATCTGCAGTGATCATTCTGCTGCTAATAAGTGAAGACATTCTTAAAACAATCTGTGAGGTGTGAGACACTATTTTCTTCATTATAACTTTGGTGTTCATTCCCATTGCTTAAGACAAAGCTGTAAAGACCTTCTTACACACAGGCACTACTTTCCATCAGTACTTTGACAGTGTAATGTTAAATAATACATAATTTTAAAGGGCAAATCATGTTTTGAAAAATGAAAATGTGCTGTTTACTTATCTGTCATTTTACATTAGAGCTGGAGATTGCCATTCACACTTATTATCAGTAAGTAGTCTTCTGGCAACATGAAGAACAATATATTGCAAAATGCTGTTAGCTTTCCAATGTCTCTGTCTTCCTCTGAACACTACTCTCTTCTGCTTTCTGTATTTCCTTTTCTGAAAAGAAGACTTCCAGGGAACTACAGAGCTGCGTCTGTCAGTTAAAACACCACCCTATAGTCGCACAGATGCTCAGTTATACAAACATGTCTTATATTCCAATGAAAACGGAGCCGACCGATTGCAGTAAAATGGGGACAAACACAGGTGCAACCAGTCTAGTGGTGTATAATGATCTCATGCAGGCTTCGGCTGACACTCAGCTATTTAAAAGTATCCCAAATAGCCCACTGTTTTAGTCCTGGAAAAAAGTCTTCATCCAGATCAGGATCCTTGGCCACACCGCTAAGTCAACTGACTTTTCCAAACGCAAACAGACAGTACAGTCAGTAATCTGTTGTTTGAATGGAAAGTATGGCTGTGTCAGTGTTAACTATACACATAGAAGACTGAATAGTGAATGATTCTGTTGTCCTGGTGATGTGGCCTGAAATCTGTGCGTTGTATTTATACTTTCCCAAAACGTTTAACTTCCATGGCACACCAGCTGAATACAGGTCATTACTGTAATGCTGCCTGGTGTCTATAATTTGCAGACGGTGAGCATAAAGCCAAATAGGAACAGAGGTGATAGAGCATTGCATTTTAGATGGTTCATGTCATTGTCAGTGTGATGTTAGTTAAGGTGGACATTTATAGAAACAAGTCCATGCACAGGGCTTTGCTCATTTGTGCTTATCAGTGTTTCCCATGGGCCTTGTATTTATTTGTGATGTTGGCTCTGCAAACATTGGATTCATTAAGTAGATTGCACAGCTTTGCATAATGTTTGTAAGAGTAAAAAATAACAAACATATTACAAAATCAATGAATGTGATGTCAAAATATGGAATATTTACAGTTGTAACTAATGATTGCATCACTGCAGATTCATCAAAGCACATTTATTTAAGGAGGAAGAATACTTAGATTTATAAAAGCTTGTTTACTTATCTTCCAGTGTTTCTAGTCTGCTCTGTTAGGTCTCTTTCTTCTCTCACAGATCAATACAAAAAGGTTCAATGTAATGTTCCCAACACGTCTGACTGCTTGTTTTCGTCAATAGCTGTCTGCATGGGCGTACCCACAACTAGGGTCTGTGTGCAAATTCTAACTGTACGATAACAGTTGTGATAAATAACAGGATTAAACAGAATATAATCATAACAGTAAATCACTGGCTGTCAGACATTCGATTCATAAGATTACAGACATAAGTTTCGAGGCATTAACGGAGGTGTCACATGCAGGTGTTAGTAACACTGATAGTTAGGATATATGAATACCATGATGGCAGGCTAATTGCTGATCTGTCTGTAGGTGTGAAACCTAATTAAACTCATGTGTTCATTTATAATCCCACAGCTTTGATTAGACTTTCTGCTTTATTAGTATGCTGTTATTAGATACTTGATACTGCAGGAGCTTTGCCTGATGGTTTTCAAAGCACGTAGTGTGTGTATGTGTTTACACATGAGGACTAACCACTGGTACACACCATTCAGAGTTTTTTTTTTGTGGATTATGACAGGGCTAAGGTAAGCTTTCAGGGTATTAATCTACTTTTTTCTCACTGTAGTACTCAAAAGGTTTACTGAGTATATAATTACTACACTGTGGAGACAAAACTCCAGTCCCTTCATAGGTAACCATTTACTTAAGGCTTAGATTTGATTTTAAGTGTAAAAAAGGAAGCATCCTTCCATCCAGTTTGTACACTGGACAGTGGCTTAGAAGCAGCCAGGGATACTGACTGCGTTTACATGCACATTATATTCCGTTTTTTGCCCTTATTCCTGAAAAGACAATATGCCTACTAAGATGTCTACGTGGCTAATAAAAATGAATATTCCACTAACACTCCTGTTTACATGCCGCTGCGTATACTCCAGTTAACGTGCCCTAACATGTCACTGATTAGGTCAAAATATATAGAAAAGTGAAACATCTGGAGCCGCTTGTCATTTTGCTCCTCCTCCAATTTTTTCAAAGTTTTCCACCGATGGCAAACTTGTTCATTTGTGTGAACATAGTCTCTCTCTCTTTCATACCTTCAACCACCTGCTTGAAAAGATCAGCATCCCAAAACCTGTTGATATACAAGTCGGTGTGTTTCTCCTTCCAACCATGTTTAAGGCTTTTTTTGGGCATGCATCACTACCTCAGCTTTGCAAACTACTGGTGAGTGGTTTTGTGTACTTTGTCTGCATGACAACGCACAGAGCCGACCATAAACAGGCAAGAGGCCACGTGCTGCAAACATGTCCAAAGAATGCTATTAATAATTAATGCTATTAAGAATGCTTTCAAAACCTGAATAATACCGGCATACTCCACATCTTAATCTGCCAGAAACAGGAACTGCTAAATTCGGGAAAAGGCCAAATTCAGAATATCTAATCAGAATATGCTGTTGACATGACCCGTATCAAATTAAGAATATTGTCATATTTGATATAATGGTGGAATGTAAACACGTGTAAACATAGCCACTATGGAAGGGTTGCCATCCTATAACAGGCCTAACATATTTAAACATTCACACTCTCAGTCACATGTGTAAGGGCAGTTTAGAGTTTCCAGTTCATCTTACCTGCATACCTTTGGACTGTGAGAGGAA